TTTTTTTTTTGGCCTATAAACAAAATGCACTGATGCTGGATAGCTCTCCCAAAAAGTTGTCATCATTACTTCACCCTCATGTCATTCTGTGCAACACGTCAAAAAATATATTGCAGAATGTCCAGTCAGATATTCTGCAATACGTCATATTTCCACAGAAGAACTAAAGTCATACAGGTTTGGAACCACATGAGGAGGACATAAATTATGACATAATATTCATTTTTGGATGAACTATCCTTTTGAGATGCATGATGATACAGTATGAGGTGTAAAGCGGGCCGAACTGTTTGTGCCCCATCAAGGGGAAAAGGTTGTTGTTCTAAATAGTTCAGTTTGAATTTCAGCTTACTCTTAACTGAGTCACACAGTGGAACAAATCAATCACTTTAATTCACAGACCAAAAGCCTTAGCCTGGTAATTACAGAACAGTGCTGAGGCAGATCTCCTCTACCTTCATCACTCACGCTGCTCTCCTTAGACAAGCATTGTTTCTTGTTGTTCTAAAATAACACGTTTATATGCACTAATTTTCACAGTGAATCCAGTCCAGTTCTGTTCATATGAACAATGAAGGTTGCAATCCTATTCACATATTTCAATAAATGTATGCTTCATGTGCTCTGAGCAAAAATTAGCACATGCGTTTAGATCCAGAGAAAGCCGCAACAATAACGTCACCAGAGCTACTGCAAGCATTTTTTGCCTTGATGACATACCTAAAATGAAAGATGGCATGTCAGCAGATCTTTTTACCAAATATTTAGTAATATTTAGTCTCTTTTACTGACCACGTCATAAGATGCAAAATAAACATTTGTACACGTTACAAAATGATTTTTTGAAGTTGTAAACTAAACAAAGGTTATTGGATATGTTTTGCAAGAAAATACTACTTCAGGCTTTTAATTAGGCTACGTGTGAATGGCAATTTCTTTGTAATTATTTGTGAGTGAAAATTGCTTCAATGTAAATCCTACAGCATTTTTATTTCAGTGTATAAAACGTATGTAAACACATGCCTAACAGCACTGAGGTATTTTTAAATCCAATTAAGAAAAATCTGATTCAAGGGTTTGCATGCTTAATTTTTTTTCGAAATAGGGAGCTACTTTCTAAGGCAGCATCATAAGCAGTAGGGGTGTCAAATGCAACAATACCAGTCTTTCCCCATTATCGTTAGAGCTTATTCAGTTCACTGCCAAAGATCTGTCTGTTTGACATTCAGCTGCTTTCAGACAACATACGTACTGTATTTGTGCATGTGAACACGCTCAAGCCATTTACGGTTTTCTCAAATTTAAGTCCTGTTTAACTGAAAACTGTGCAAGGTATTGTTGCATGAAATTTGGCTGATAGGTTTAATATAATAATTTTGATGAAAGTGATCTCATTAGGCCGAACACAAATTTGTGGTGGTGGTAAACAGAGATTACAGTAAGATGGAGTGTGTTGGTTTATTGAGCCAGAGCTCAGCCCGATGTCTACGGGACAGAGTTGGCTGGCCAAGACTTTTCTTGGCACTCTTGACTTGATCTCTGGCCCAAAGCTCGTATCAGATTTAAACACAACCAGATGTTTACATATGCACTCAACCTGTAAAATTCACATGTGTATGCCAAAAATTTTAATCCCTCATTTGATTTGAACAGAAACTGCACTTTGTCATTTAGTTTTTTTTATTATTGTTACAAGCTACATCTTGTCATTCTGTGATTGCTTTGTTCTGATATACTCACTTTACTTTTGAAATTGTACCTTTTACGTTTAAATTTAGGATATGAGAAGCACAGTTGTAGGATCATTAAGTTTACGTAAAGAATAACCAAAAGGCCTTTTTTCAAATGTGCCTTTAAGAAATCAATGTAATGAATAACAATGAGTAATAACTCATTTTTTAATAAAGGAAATTTATTCAGTGTGCACATCTGACTGCATAACAATTTTGACATTAGGACTGTAGAAACCCCCATTTAGAGAGCCACTCTCACATACCAGCAGGCCAACTTACGTCATATTGATAATTATTTAAATGGCTCAAGAGCATATACCGTAGGCGTACTTTGGTTTTCCATTCGCATGGCATCCACCATGAATAATAAATAACTACTACTGTCTTACCTAATTCAGCAAAATCCAACACTTGAACCTGACATCATAGGCAATAATCATATAGTCATCACCACCAAAGCGCCAACTTAAATTGTTTTTAGAAGTTGGGATAACATCCAGTCGAGAGAATTCTGCAGGGTTGATGTTTCTGATGATTTTATTTTGACCATGTCAGGTTCAATGGATTAAGACTATTGCAGATTGATTTTAATGTGGAGATAGATGTAATGGTGAGGGAAAAACTATTTTATATTTATTGATGGAATCTATAATGCTACCATAATTTATGTATATATGTATTTATTTATTTGGCACTTTTTGTCAGCATTTCTCAACCCATTACTATTAAAGGGGTCATATGATGCGATTTCAATTTTTCCTTTCTCTTTGGAGTGTTACAAGCTCTTGGTGCATAAAGAAGATCTGTAAAGTTGCAAAGACTAAAGTTTTAAATTCAAAGAGATATTCTTTATTCAAAAGGGGGAAGTCGTGGCCTAATGGTTAGAGAGTCGGACTCGTAACCCAAAGGTTACGAGTTCGAGTCTCAAGTCCGGCAGGAACTGTAAATGTACAGCGCTCTCTTTTTAATGTTTTTGTCTCGTCGTGCCGGGACAAGGCATCACAATATGTCAAGGGGCATAACATTTCTGTCACACGCTTGAGGTATTCGGCCAATCACAACGCACTGGATAGCTGGCCAATCACAGCACACCTCACTTTTCAGACCGATGAGCTTTGTAAAAATCGACGTGTTTCAGAAAGGCGGGGCATAGAGGAGAAACAATAGTGTACAGTATGTGGAAAATAATGTGTTTTTTGAAACTTAAACGCATTTTATTACACCAAATACACAAAATAATGTTCTTTTTAGCAACATCATATGACCCCTTTAAGTTTTTTATTTTATTTTGGTAGAAACTATGGAAGCTTGTTTGTGTAAAAAAGGTAATTGCAACTTTTTATCACAATTTGGACTTTTTTTCTTGCAATTCTAAGAAAAAGGTCTGAATTGCAAGATGTAAATTTAGAATTGTAAAATATAAATTTGCAATTGCCTTTTTTATTTTTTTATTCCATGGCAGGGGAAAAAACAGAATTGCAAGATATAATAAGAATTAATAAGTATGAATTTTGAGAAAAATTCAGGATTCTGAGTTTATATCTCATAATTCTTACTTTTTATCTAGAATTGCGCGGAAAAAGTCTGAATCGTGAGATAAAAAGTAGGGTAAAAAATGTTTTATACCATTGCAGAAACCAGCTTCCATTTAAAAAACTGATCTTAGTTTGATATTCCCTTTATTACTAACATGTATACATGACTGTATTCATACACACGCAAGCCAATGATGTGAAGCTCATTTTGATTTCTATTTATTCAAAAATACATTCCATGATGAGCATGCTGTTTATTCAGCATAATGAGCATACACTGAAAAAAATGTTTTATTCATCCAATTAAAAAAATTTAGGGTAATGATTCACATCTATATTTTTTAACTTGAGCCAATGAAAAATAAATAACTTGACCTAAGGGATGATTAATTGGATGAATGAAACATTTTTTTGAGTGTACTTTTTATTCCGTTTTATATTCAGTGTATTTTACTTTGGTGTGAAAGAATGCAGATTTTCAAGAACTGTTAATGGAACCAGACATCATGACAATCATTTGGTTACAGTGTTTTTTATTTATTTATTTAATTTAATTTTCATGTTGATGGATAAGCTGTTTCTTTAGACCCTGAGATTTGGCATTATGGGATGATGATAGATCAGTCTGTATATGATATCAGAGGTTGTTTTTGAACCGTCCCATCCAGATTCTGACACATTAATAGTGCATCATATACAAATCTTATGTTTTCAAAGGGGAATTCAATTGCTGATGCCAATATGATAATTTATTACCCCCCCTTTCAGTTTGATTTAGTTTTTGCTTTGAGTCACCACTCTGACTTGGGCAAAAACATGTTTTGAATAAGATCCCCCATATTAGTTTAAAATAGGAATGGAAAATAGTGTTTCGATATGCTAACAGCCACAGCCAGACACACACCCATTGTGCAAGACGTAATGTAGTCCCTGTTGTGTACGTTTATAGAAACTTCCTTTCATGGAATTCATCATGCTGTCATCTTACTCTATTTCTGGACCTTTCTTAATATTTTTAAAATATCGTTTATTACACTACATGTCCTATAATTCTCCCAATCATTTTTTTCCCCAGTTTTCTTGTACTTTGTAAGCCATTCATGAACTGTTTGTTTAAAAAGATGTTATTTTTCTCAAATGTACCATGTTAAATAGAATACTTTGAGGTACCTGTTAATCATTCAGTACGATCACTGCACCATTTTACCATAGTACTTTTTTGAAAAGGGTTAAATAATTATATTCAAAATTTTTTAAAAAAGTATAAATTATGAGCTATTATAAAGTGTAAATTATTAAAACTTTAAAATGTTTAGGAATACTGTATGTTATTGATTATAACAATCAGTAAGTGATTAACATTACACAACACAATTTATATTAACAGCTTATTATTCAATGCAAATTCATATTGTTGACTTGAAATGATATTGATATTGATATTGTAAACTTGAATGAAACTACTTATTTTTATACACTACTGTTCAAAAGTTTGGGGTCGGCAAAATTTAAAAAATGTGCTTGAAAGAAGTCTCTTATGCTCACCAAGGCTGAATTTTTTAAAATAAAAAATACAGTAAATATTGTGAAATATTATTACAATTTTAAATATCTGTTTTAATATATTTTAAAATGTAATTTATTCCTGTGATGGCAAAGCTACATTTTCAACAGCCATTACTCCAGTCTTCAGTGTCACACCTGTCACACACATTTTACCTCTCGTGTGCAGGTCCAGGCTCACGGGGCGCTGCAGTATCTGGTGTCTCTGTTAGCAAGTATGGAGCACAGTGCCCATCACACACTACTGCTGGAAATCCACTGCCTGACCGATCGCTACACCTCCATCCTGGGCGGCGGAGTAAAAGACATCTACCGCATGAGCAACAGTTTCACCGCCATTGCGCGACTTTTGGGACGCAAGCTGGAGGCTGAGAGTACATTTAGCAGGTAGTCACACACACAGACATTTTGAAAGTGAAAGTGACGTGACATGTAGCCAAGTATGGTGTCCCATACTCGGAATTTGTGCACCCGGAACAGTGCCGGGGAGCGGTTGGGGGTTTGGTGCCTTGCTCCAGGGTCTCGTGGTATTGAGGGTAGAAAAGAGCGCTGGTCATTCACTCCCCCCACCTACAAATCCCTATTTGTACCGAGATTCGAACCCGCGACCTTTGGGTAACAAATCTGACTCTCTAACCATGAGGCCATGACTGCCCCAGTTAATTTCCCACTTGCTTCAATTTCCTGAATAGCCTTGACATGTTCCAGTATTAGTTTTTTAAACCACACAGGTGATTAGTTTTATTGAAGTAATTGACATTTTATTATGATGGAATAACTTCTGTTAAAAAGCTCCCTAATCTGCAGGGCTTTGTCTGAATGTCAGCATTAACCATTGCAAAATTCTTCAGCTAATCAGTGTTTTGGCAGTTTCATTGCGAAAAGTCTGATGAGGTAATGATGTACTCCAGATAGAAATATTTTGTTCATTTCTCTGTTTCTAAGACTTAATTTGTTCTCTCTTGAGGAAAGTAGGTTGCATAGGAAAGCTGACAAATAAAGAGAAATCTACATAAATTTAATAGAAGGGACATGATAGAACTGTTAGTTTTCTACTTTTGCTTTTATTTCTCCCTTTGTTCTCACTCATCTTCTTTTCCAAAATTACTAATTTCAAAAATGACAGTTATGTTTATTTCAACTATATAGAAATTGTTTTTATGTTTGGAATAAACCATTATTATTACATGGCTTTCTGGAATGCTTGATTCTGAATACTTGATTCAATGACGAATCAATCAAAAACTATTAAAAAACACAAATATTTAAACAAAATAGCATCAAATGTGAAGTGTCAGATTGTGTTAATTTTGTCACACATTTTTTATTTAGTCTTAGTCTTAGTCCTGGTGTCAAATGTACTTTTTAGCTATTATCATATTTAGTCAACCTTCTCCTGTTTTTGTTTAGTCAAGATTTAGTCGACTAAATGTCTGAGCATGTTAGTCTAGTTTTAGTCAATGAAACATTTTCGTCACATTTTCGTCATGCTGTATAATAGTTAAACTGATAAATATTGTTGTCATTTGAGAAATATATTTTTACATTTTAGGTATTGCACTTTCACCAATAAGCACCAATCAATAGAAAGTAGACTCATACACAATGTTTATTTTACCTCATCTAGTGTACTGATTTATTATAGGCTATTTAATATATAAATTAATATCTAAGATTTAGATATGCACTCTCTCTGTCTACATTATGAGTTATTATTGTCTCATCATCGTCTCGTCTTAGTCATGGGAAAAAAGCTTGTCAACGAACATTTTTCATTATACTTTTTGTTAACTAAATGAACACTGGTGTCAGACAGGGAATTATGGGAGTTTGACTTGCTCTTTCACAAATTGTTCATTTAACATTATTTTACTGTAAAATTACATGAAATGTCCTGTTAGATATTACAAATTTTCACTATATATACAGACAATACAAGCAACACCAGTGACGCAATACAATGGACCCACAATTCAATTCGGCAACGCATGACATCACCCATTCAAAGTAAATGAGAAGCGTTAATGCCGACGCCCCATGTGAATGCACCATTAGAGATTGGTGTAGGGTTAGTTGCTTGTAATTAAGCATAATTGTGTAATTATGCATAACTGTTGTTACTATAGTAAGTACAGTGCATGTAAGATGTGTAACAAGGTTGCTGTCAAATGAAGTGTTACCTTTAATGCTATTTCAAATATTGTTTTTAAAAAGTATACAGCATTCAGTACATACTGTTCAGTATACACTAGTGCAGTTGTATTCCATTCTGAACTTGGCCTTTATCTTTGTTCATCAGAGAGGAGGAGAAGGTGCAGGATTTGTCCAGGCCATGTGAAGCCGAGTCTAGTTCGGACATGTTTGCTGAGAACCAGCGTCTGCAGGTGAAGATCCAGGCTTTCGAGCAGAAGATGGGTGATGAGGTGGAGGAGTTTGAGGAAGAGGGTGCTTCCCCTGGTCCTCAGAGACGCCATAGTCTGGGTCAGGCAGCACGAGATGAGCGCAGAGAGATGAGGTTCAGCAGGTGGGCCTGACCTGTGGGAATTTACAAATAAATGAATAGTTCAAAATTGCTGAAATGGACCTTTCGATAGATAAATGATCTCTGATGTCCAAAAGCAAAACGTTTTTATGTTTGCACATGGAAAGGAATAGTAGAATGTATGGTAGGGATGCACCGAAATGAAAATTCTTGGCCGAAGCCGGAAAAAATGAAACACTAAAGAGAAAGGAAAACTTGAAATCGCATCAAATAAATGTATTAATAGAGCTGTTGTAGGGTAATTATTATTATCAGTATTATTGTCTTAATTTTTTATTTTATTTTACAGAACGATAGTAAAATTACAATACTCTCATTTATGAATGTCGATGGAGTTGTTGCTTTTTCTCGGCTTTTATTTTGGCAGAAACCCGCAGGAAGATCTCAGTGCTTCTTTTTGTTGACAACAGCATGCAGATTTATAAATTATTCTCATTACGAATTTGGGAAGATGTTTGTCACACGTATCGCATTGTCACAAGCCTTTAAAAAAATTCTAAATTCTAAATGTTACTGAGCAACTGACGAGTAACAAGTTCAGCGCAGATTTTCCTCGCGCTTTGGACTTTGAACCCTGGCGCCGCGAGCTCGTGCCGCGCTGTCAGAATACGTGCAATTCGTGCGTGCATTAGAAAATAGAACATTCTGCAGTTTATTTACTAATCGTTTTGAGGTAATTTCGCGATTTCAATCATCATACAGTAACCTAACCACCAGCATCAACCACCTCTTCTTCTCATCGGAGACGTGATGCAGCAGTCTCTCGCTGTCGGTGCTTCGTGCTTGTAATGATTTCTGCGTCTTTCTCTGATAGTTTTAAATACTTTCACGCTGCCGACATGTTTGCTGCATTAGTGCGTGCCTCTATTTGATCGCGTTAGTCATTGTTCGGTACATATTATTCGGCGAAATATTCGGCCTTTCCGTTTATTCGGCGAAATATAATATCGGTTGCCGAATATTCGGTGCATCCCTAATGAATGGTAACGGTTTTTAAATAGCACTTGTCATTCTTTATTACATTTGCTCTGTATGTACGTATGGTATAAATTTTAGTTATGCATGTCTTAGTTTTACATTTAATTTGGCTAAATACCACACTGCAAAAATACGTTCTACATTTTCTAGTAGAGTATGCCACTTTTTAATAACTCACAGCCTAAAATAAATGAACTGACTCTGAGATTTTGAATTTTGAAGTGTGCTCTTCTCTCGTGTTCAGGTCAAAGAGTCTGGCTCTTCACGCTGTACGCACACGATCCATTAACTCTGACAGCAGTCCAGAGGGAGAAGGGCTGGATCTGAGCACAGAACTCGGTGTCTGTGAGGCCAGTCCCAGCCCAGAGACCCGTCCTGCCCTCACGACCCTGCAGGAGAACCACAAACTCACAGAGACTCAGCCTGACACATCTCCAAACAGTGAGGGCCAAAAGGTGGTGGTTGGAGACCCCCGGGAGGGAGATAGACTCTGGATCCACCTAAGAGACAACATGGAAGAAATCAAAACCTTCTGTGCGGAAATGATCAAACAAATCCCCATACCGGAGCACTGTGTCATTGAAGGTAACCTGTCAAATCTAAGAGCAATCCACACAGCAACACATTAAAAAGTACCTTGCATTTATGAGTAGCGCAGAAGAACACTACAAGTTTTCAGTACATACTGTTTCAGTACAACACTACTCGCTTCTACAAGTTTTACCACACTCTCATCCAGAAATTACTTTGGACATGGGAATTAATTTGAACATGAAAGTGTTTATACAAGACTGAATTTCAGGTCAGCTTCTAGTTCAGTTTTTTGTTGTTGTTTTAGCAAAATGAGGAGAACATTTTCCTGGCATATTTTGAAGTATGTTAGAAATGTAATCACACCAGTTACATATTGGGATGCCATGCCAAGTTATCTACAGAGTTCCTATGCAGTTTTGGGAGAGTATGGAATTTGATTTGAGTAATTTCCAGGTCTGGAAAACTATGGAAAAAAGAAAGCAGAATATGGAAAAATATTTCCAGCATTTCCAGACTTTTGCCCCTATTTAGTTTTCTATAAAAGAAATTTAAGAGTTTAATGAAAATAAATGTATCGTACAAGAAGTGTTTTTTCATGTCAGCTGTTTAATGATTCTTTAGTGATTGTCAAACACGACTGAATGAATTCAAGGTGCACTTTTTCATTAAGTAAAAATGCAGGTTATATTTTGGCTTTCTTCTCACAATAGCATCAAATTACAGAGCCTCTAAAGGATCTTTGCAAAAATAAGAAAGGTAACACTTTATTTTAAGGTGTCCTTGTTATACATGTTACATGTACTTACTATTATAATAACAATTAATTATGCATAATTACATGCAAGTAACCAAACCCTAATCCTAACCCTAACCATATAGTAAGTACATGTAGTTAATCAATATTACTCAGTACTTAAATGCATAATTACACTGTAACAAGGACACCTTAAAATAAAGTGTAACCATAAGAAATATACAGACTTTCATGTGCTTACGAGAAATCATTAAACTTAGCACATAAGATGATGCTTACTGAGCCATCTATTGCTCCATCAGCTCATTTCGCAGTGTGGGTTTTTGGCCGCCACAGAGTACACGTTAAAGCAGACTTAAGGCCTTGAAATATGACGTACTGCCCTAAAGAAAGCCACATTTTGAACACTTTTTTACAGTACCAGTCTTTTTTATAGACCCTTGAACTTGCCAAATAGGACAATGCACACAACCGTATTGTGCCATCAGCCCATTTTGTGTCATTGTTTCTCTGAAGATGCATTAAATTGGACATTAGGCATTGATATTAGAGGTACTACCCTAAGGAAAGCCAAATTTTGAGCAAATAGATCTCTGTTAATTCATGTGCATCCATGCTCTCATTTTCTTCATAGTAAGATGGCAGATGGCAAGTTATAGTATATATAAAACTAGAAATTGTAATGCATAAAAAATGTGAGTATGAGTAGTTTCTCGTGTGCATGCAAAAGTCCGTTTTTTTATTTTATTTTAAGGGACTCTGTATGTTGTCACTTTGAGAAAATCAATGAATAAACCCTTGAGAAAATAACAATATTTACATATACCAAATATAAAGCTGAAAATAATGCTCCTGTGAACCATTTATGTTAAATATGGTCTGAAAATCTACTGAAAGGTTTGGAAATTTGAGTCTGGAAAAGTGTGGAATTTTGATAAGGTAAATGTGTAGATACCCTTTCATTAGATTGCAGAGTTTAGCAAATTACTTTTTTTTTTTTTTTTTGTATATTATATTTAGATTGACAAAATTTTACTTGCTGTTTTTCATTAAATTGCTTGACAGGAGCTATTGCATTGTTTAAATCACCAGGCAAAACATGATTTTAGTTATAATATTAATTAGAATATTACCCATCACATTGCTTATTGACATTTTCTGTAGGGAAAGTGGTGCTTGCCCCAGAAAAACTCCAGAATAGTTGAGCAATATCACAACAAGTGTGCCATTTTTTCCTGAATATATGTGACCCTGGACCACAAAATCAGTCTTAAGTCGCTGGGGTATATTTGTAGCAATAGCCAAAAAAAACATTGTATGGGTCAAAATTATCGATTTTTCTTTTATGCCAAAAATCATTAGGATATTAAGTAAAGATCATGTTCCATGAAGATATTTTGTACATTTCCTTCCGTAAATATACAAAAAGTAAATTTTTGATTAGTAATATGCATTGCTAAGAACTTGATTTGGACAACTTTAAAGGCGATTTTCTCAGTATTTTGATTTTTTTGCATCCTCAGATTCCAGATTTTCAAATAGTTGTATCTCGTCAAATATTGTCCTATCCTAACAAACCATACATCAATGGAAAGCTTATTAAGCTCATTAGCTTTCAGATAATGTATAAATCTCAGTTTCAAAAAATTGATCCTTATGACTGGTTTTGTTGTCCAGGGTCACATATACTTGAGATAATGAGGAGTGCACAGCTGAACCAAACTAACTAATGATTGTAACCATGGTAACTAAAGAGTGGCAGGAAATCAAACAAAGAAAGGCATGAACTGAAGAAATACAAACTAAAAGTCCTTGGTGAACTAACCTGAGCATAATGGTGACAATTATACAGTTCAAGAAACAAGTTAATATTAAGTGAGTTACATTTTGGACACAGTATTATCTGTTTTTGCTGTATTTGGCCAACGAAAATAGTTCCGAACAAAGTCACGGCAGAACTTTTGCATATCTTAAAGCAACAATGTTTCACTATTGCATGAATCTGTGCTCTTGAACAAATCATTTTAGTGAATGATTCATTTACCTATTCATAAGACAGTGACTTGATTTGTTTCTGAATGCTCCAGCTGTTTGAACTAATTGGTTGAATGAATGACTCAGTGACTTGCAACCACCCACTAAAAGTATCATTTTATTTTTTCAAATTAATTTGATAACATCCCCTAATTTCTGTCACTGCTGTGAACCACCACGTAGAATATGAAAAGATTCAGGAGTCAGCTGTCCTGACTCTGAACCCTCCTTCTCAAGTCTATTGAATTTTTCACCTGTTGTATTGCCCATCAGGCATCTATAAGTCCAGTTGCTTAGTAAAATAATAGTACACCTCTTATCAAAAAGTTGCATGATTTGAAGTATCATTCACGTCAATAGTGAAAAGTGCAGGATGAGTTACTTGTTTAAGTTAAATTCATAAAGTTAAGGTTTTGTTCAAATCTGTAAGTATGAACAATAGTTAGAAGGATACCTGCCTTTTCAAACACCACTAATTATCATCTTATCAGTGCACAGCTGTGGGTGGCAGACAGATTGAGGTGCAGCTTGGTTCTGGTATCCAGATGCAAAGCTATTTTAGTCATCTCCCCTGCGCTGGCCTGGGTCTCTGCCTCCCCTTCACATTATTCAACAGCTTTCCCACTGATAAACTGTAAAGTAATCGATCAGTCGGCGACCTGGTGAACTGCCAGAATACATGTGAGTGCGTTTATGTTTGTGTCAATGTGAGGGATTCAGTGCAGTCATACTCAACACATCATGGAGGATCAGCTAATGTCATAGTCAGTGGTAAAGCTGTCAGAAAGGATTTTGTGAAAGAGTTGTTGAACAGTGTCCAATTATTGGCAGACTTCACAAGCAGAGAGCAGATCTCTGGTCTTCTGCTCTAGTCCTTTATGATATATTTTTTAGCATTTAGTCTATCCCTTTTGAAGCGCACAACTAGAGTGAGCAAATAGCATGCGAGTGTGGATGTGAAAAGGCATTTCATTGGCTGGAACCACTGAACAAACATGCCTCTTCACTACGTCAGAAAGTGTTTGGAGTCTGTTAGGCAGAAGAAGTAGCTGATTTATGAATATGCAAAAAGACATAAAGATGTTATTGAAATTCATAATTTTTTTGTATAGTTTGACAAGTCATGCTCTGAGCAGTCAACAAAAAGGACAAAATGCATCTGCTTTATTGTGGATAAAACGTTTATAATGTTTAAACACTATTTTTAGAGTCTCTTCTGGGATGTGTAGGCATGTAAATTTTAAAAAGACTTGAACAAACCTGTTGAGTAAGTAATTCAATGACTTGCTCATAAGAATACATTCACTGGTTACCACCTGCTGGTATGTTGATGTTACTTACAGAAAGAGTCACTGAACAAGTCAGTAAACTAATCTAACTGAACCTTTTTAATGAACAAAGTCAAAAGATTTGAGTGAAAGATGAAACAAGCATCAACACCATTAATTCCAAAGTATAATTCGCTCGTCCACATTCTACTCTGTCTTGCAGAAGCTGGTCTTTTCCATCTTTCCTGTTCCATGAACTCATTTTCTTTTACAAGAATACACTCATTTATCTGCAGCCCATCAGGATTTAGTTATTCCAAGAGGCCCAACTGTTGTTTCTCTCTTTTTCTTTTTTTTTCTTTTTACACTGATTTCATTAAACAGTTGATGCATAATCCACATGTCATTGAGTAAAATAATAATAATAATAAAAAAAGAAAACTAAAGCGTAATTATGCTCCAAGTGTTGTTTCTTAAACACATATGGAGAGTCGAGGGACATTCAGGACGATGCTACACTGGCAGGGTTGCATATACAAACCGCAACATAATACTAACTTCACTCTTCTTCTCCCTCACTCATATAGTGTCAATGAAGGCCAAAGAGAATGGATGATTAATGATGTTTATAGAGAGGCTGATTTTAAGTGATTTGTATAATCAATAGACAGAACAAAACGACACAGTTATGAGTAGCGGTTTACCGATATATGCTTCACAATGGCAGATGGGAATGCTAGTATCTACAGTGCCGGGTGAGATAGTCTCAATAGCACAACCAAATAAATAATTACAATAAACCTCCCAACCATGTGACCAACGTAAAATGACCAAACGCATTAGATAGGTAGTCATCAGTCCTTGGCGTGCCGTCTGAGGCTTAGACTAGGTGGACTGGGCCAATATAATGCCAGTATATATGTGGAACAATTTAATGATAGCAAATGAGACAAAGAATACTTATTTTCACAATATTTAATCATATTTTACTAAGGCTGTTTTGACACCAGGCTTGTTTGGACCGTCTGTTTAGTAACCTGTTGCATTTTTTCCCTTAGTTTGGTTCATTGTGGCATACATGAACATGGCAATCAGCCCGAGATCGACTAAACGTAACATTGTTTCAGAACAAAGCAAATGATCTACAGGTCTAAAAATGCCCTAAAACGTTATGAGTGTCTGGTTTTACTGATAAATACTTAGTTGTTTTCTTCTGCTGTGGTGCAGTTTAGCTGCTGGGAGTTTATTTTAGGATATTTTGTGGTTTTGGGAAATCGGTTCCATTTCTGGCAAAGGAATTCATAAGCAATTCATGCTCCTGTGTTTATGTGTGTTTGTGCTCCAGACTCACATCGTGGCTGTGTAGCTAAGCTGTCATTCTCCTGTCCACTGAAAGGACACTACTGCCTGTACGGGAAGTCTTGTTTCTCGCTGTGTAGCCGCCAGCCACACCTCTGGATCCAAATCATGCTACTGGCACTGCAGGTAACAATCGGACACGTTTTTGTTCCACAAGATGTGTGGCTGCGTCTGTGTTTGTACTTGCTTAGCTATACTTGTGAGGGCCAAATGTCCTCATTTATGTAATAAAATATCATGACAGCCAACTAGTAAGGACAGGCATTTAATTCGTCTGAATTTTGTTTATATATTCAAATCTAGTGATTAGTGATGGGAGAAAGGAACCATTTCAAAGCTTCAAATCAATAAAGGCTTTATTTTCCATGCTGCTATGTTTACATTGCAGAGTTTGGGGAATGACATCTGTATTCAAATCGTGATTGAATCAGAAATTGTGATGATTGACATAGACGCGACATAACAACGGACGGGACTAAATAGACCTGTGCATTAAGTCTCAGAGTGTAAATGCATACTAAAAGCTCTCTCACTTGATCTATTATGTGTAATGTGTTGCTTTGTTATTTATTTTATTATTTGGGCTTTGTGGTTAATCTTATCTTACCATGAGCAGCAGTCAGTGTGATGCTTGCCTTAGCAAACACCACTAATTATGAGTAGCGTGTATCTTGGCAAGCTAGCAGTGTATCATGTCTGTGTGCAGAGTAAAGTGAGCGAGGCGTTGTGCTGTCAGGATGAGTGTGTTAAGCAGCTAAGGAAACTTTGGGAGAAAACACAGCTGACGGGAGCTCACAGCTTTGAACTGGCCATGACCCAGGCAACTGTTCCTCACAAGAAGGTAAAGTCCTCAACCGTTTCTCTTGTGCTCTTCCTCTTTTATTCTCTCTCCATCTATCTGTCACTCACACAAACACATACTTTATGAACCAACACGCATCCACTCACTCAGCACTCCTCTTCACTTGAGAAATGACACTGGATTTGGCTTCACAAGCCAGTCCATATGATTTTGAGTCAAACTTGATGTTTGAAGGGATTGTTCACTCCTAAAAAGGAAAAAGGCACAATTCATGTGCTATATTCTAAGTTTTCTGAAGCTATGCAATTGCAGTCATGCCAAACGTCATCAGTTATTGTATGTAACATGACATTGTAAACCGTAAATTAACAATCTCATAATGCTTTATCGCATGCAATAGCAGGGGTGTTAATACTTTTTCCCATGCAATTGTGTTGGCAATGGCCATTTATTGACAAGTCTTAGTTTTCTCAATGAAAGCTGAACACAAGTGCTCACACGACAAGGTGGAAACAGTACGTGCATCTAGGCTGACCACTTTGGATCGGATCGCTGAAAATGCATCTTAATTACTAACCCTATATTGTGATTAATTCTTTATCACGATTAATTTTTCATATCCACAGTGCATAAATCCCCAGCCCTAAGCTAGATTAAATAAGTAGGAAAAATCAGTCATCCTCCCCCTTCCTCGCTGCGGGGACATTATGAGGAAGAAGTGGCCCAGCAGGATAGGAAATGTATGTCTGATCCTGATCAAGGATTACAATTATGCCTTTGAGGAGAAGGTATGGGTTATCACAGTGGAAACTATTTATGCATGTGTTAAAGGAACACTCCACTATTTTTGAAAATAGGCTCATTTTCCAACTCCCCTAGAGTTAGACAGTTGAGTTTTACCATTTTCGAATCCATTCAGCCGATCTCCGGGTCTGGCGGTAGCACTTTTGATGAAAATGAGCCTATTTTCAAAAATAGTGGAGTGTTCCTTTAACAGCAATCTTGTCGTACAAGTCAAAGTTCTCTGTGGAGATCAATAAAGAAAGACCTACACTAAAGTACACTCTTAAAAATAAAGGTTTTTATTGGCATTTATGGTTCCATGAATAACTTTTAACATTCATGGAACCTTTTCATTGCACAAAAGGTACATTAGATAATTAAAATGTTCTTCACACTAAGAAAAAAATGGTCCTTTTAAGAACTGTTTTCTGAAAGGTTTTTTGAAGAAGCCAAAAAAATAGTTCTTCTATGGCATTACTGCAAAAACACTAGTTTGCAAACTGTATTTTTAACAGTGTAGATATTTAACATCGCAGAGCCCAACATATGCCCTCCGTTACAGCCACATCCATAGTGGAAAACAGCCATGTCATGGAAACTGTGACGGGTCAGAGGTCATGCTGAGACGGGGTTGTTTATGTTAGGTCATTTCCTCTTTATGGTACCATGTGAATCCAAGTGCTCGGATGATCTTATCAAACATTGTAAATGTCAGCTCTGGAAATAATTACATAGTACAGCTGGTGTCTTTTGTGTCTTTATGCTCTCTTCCTTTTCTTCCTGCCATTTCTAAATCTGAGGTCATTTATCGTCCAGTGAAGAACTTTGTGCGCACATAACACATATGGTATCTGTTTATGTTGGGCACATGTGCACATGCCAAAATACGAGGCAGGACTCTAGCAAACCCATCTTGAATGCACTTGTAAACATCCCCCAAATGATGCCCTAACCCCTGACATTTCCTTTGATTTGCTGTCTGGCCTACGTTTAAAGAGACAGCTTTTGCTAGCATTGAAAAGTTCATATCATAAAAGACTGGATTTTTTTTCTTGCTCTTTTAAAATGAGTTTGTAGACATACTGTAGACATATGCGACCCCATATAGTGAGACAAATGTCCATGTATTGGGGCATTGCAAAAGGTGTCTTTTTTTTCTTGGCTAGTAACGATGGAAATGTTTTTTTTTTTTTTTTTTTAAGGTTTGAGTCTATACAGAGTTTGACTTTAGGGGAAAAATGTGAAACTAGCCCCTCATTTATAGAAGTTAAAAATAAAAGAAGATTTAAAGAAAATCGCAAACTGGCTATAATGTAACAGTCAGTTTTGATGCATCTCGATATGTAATGACAGAATTACATAATACTACATTGTGGAAAAAAAAATCTGTGAAATTAACAGTAAAAAAGAGCAGTTGATATTACAAATATAGTATTAAAAATATAGTAGTAACATTTTTAGCTTTATGGATTGAGCACAAATATTTTATTAACTCACATAATGTTAATATTACAAAGTACTAAAAAATAAGAAGAAACATAATTATCAAAAACCATCAAACGTGGTCACATAGGGAATCCGGGAATGTCAATTTACGTTTTTTCATTGTTAATTATAAGATGGCGTGTTCTTTTTCACTTTGAAAATCTGCGTATTTTAGTCAGTTAGCTCTATATACAGTTAGGGATCTTATTGTTAATCAAATTAGCATTGTACTTTAACATTGTGCATTGTATTCCACAGTGTTTGAACAAGGTTGGAATTTGAATTGAATTTATTTGATAATTTTTACAAAACTGTACAAGAGAATAAAAAACCCCATCCCATTCATATAAGAAAAAAACTGTCAAGGATAAACAAACACAATAAAGCCTGTAGCTTAAAGTCCTTGAAGCTTTCCAAGCTTTAAAAAAAAAAAAAAAATTTCTGGCATGTACTGTACACAGGTCATGGGTGTACATTTTTAATTTTAATGAATGAATCATTTGTAAATTCTGTTAAAATGCCTGGACTACTCACGCAGTCCAGTGTTCAGTCATGTCCAACTTGAAATGAGCCAAGAACCAGGAAGTAATATGATCATGTTTGAGTTTGAGTGCTAACTGTACTGTTCATAATGAGGAAAGTTCTCCAAATACACAACAGAATCATTTGTTTTATCAGTTTGTTTCCATTCTTTAAGGTCAGTGTGACACCAAGAATTCGAGTCTGCTAGTGTAACGCCATTTAAGTATTTGCTATTGACTGTTCAAATGCGGAGTTTTGCGCATCGTGTGTGTGTGTGCGCGCGCGCGAGCGAGAGAGAGAGAAAGAGCGTTGTGTGTGTGTGTGCGTGTGCGTGCGCGCGAGCGAGAGAGAAAGAGGACTTTGTAGAAAACGAAGCGTTTGAGAGAGGCGGGGCATAGAGGACCTACAATAATGTACAGTATTTTAAAAATAATGTGTTTTTTGAACATTAAAGCATGTCAGCATATTCTGTTACACCAAATACACAAAATAATGATCTTTAAAAAAGCATCATATGACCCCTTTAATAGGTGGGAGGACTGGTCGCAAAAATCATGTTTAAACCCGTTTTAGTGGATCAGAGTGGACAGTGGAAATTAGATTAAATGCTAGAAGGCACCGGGTCATATGCCACACAGGCTTTAGAAAGATAGTTAAACTCGCCAGCAATATGCCTTTGCAACTATTAGATTTTTTTCTCTCTACTTAGAAAAAAAAATTAAGTCGACAAAAATAAAATTGCAGGAGGTCTTAGAGGAATTTTAACCACACAACATCTTGAAGGCATTATAAGTGTGTCACTTTGCTAATGATAGATCACACTGAAATAATAGTAAATAATGGAAATTGTTTAGAGAATATAGAAAAGCCCCTTTGCCTCACATCACTGTGTTTTACTGACTGGTGGATGGGATCCTATTACCATCCCTGTGTGAGTGTATACGTGCATGTGTTGTGTGTGTTAGGCAGACTGAGGCTCTATAAAAGGACACTGGGAAGAGTGTTGCAATAGTATCCATTACAAACAGAAGGACCTCTATTACTTTTCCGGTCTCCACAGGATAATGATGACATGTTAGCTAGCATGTTGTAGGCCCCATGGTTTTGGCTGTCCTCCCGTGACGCTTTTGCACATCTGGGGCTTAGCGTTTTTGGCGCACATGTACACTGGGGTTTTGAGAGTCAAGGTTGGTGTTGACGTGTTTCTTTTGACATACTAGAATAGCGTAGTCCCATTGTTCAGCTCTGTTTCCCAACACTGGCAGTCTGCCGGTCCGGATTGCCCAACATTTTGGATTAGAATAAGAAAGTGAAAATGAACTTCCAGGCATGTTAAACACTGTCGGGGACCTCTCTGTTAATTATCCAACCACCCTCAATGTGTTATATTTCTCTGTGATTCACTGGACTGACTCATCATTTCCTGTGTGTCACTCAAGTCATCTTGAGTCATCAGTTTACAGATTGAGTTTGTGAAAGAGTTTGTGAATGATTACGTGACTTCTTAATAGTTCAAATTTTGTATTAGTTAAAGGCATGTCATTAAACTAATTTTATGATCCATTCTTGTTTTATGAATGACTGAACAAAAATTTCTGTTCCTTCATTGAAAGTCCATTCCACCAAAACTGTGATGCTAAAAAGTTCATAAAACATTGTAAAAGAAATCCATATTAATCAAGCAGTTTAAAGGGGTCATATGACGTTGCTAAAAAGAACATTATGTTGTGTATTTGGTGTAATGCAGTGCGTTTATGCAGTTTAAGGTTAAAAAAACACATTATTTTCCACATAATGTACATTATTGTTGCTCCTCTATGCCCCGCCTTTCTGAAAGCGGATATCGTCTTCTTTTGGAAGGCCAAACAAAGTAGTTTCGTTTTCACAACGAAATACACAGCGTCACACACGGCAGGCTTCAGTGAGCGGAGGCCGGTGGGCTTGAGTGAGAAACGGCCGGCGGGCTTGAGAACGGCGCGGCCGGCGGGCTTGCGGCAAC